CAGTTGTCTAAGATTACAGTTACAGAATAGGCTGTATTTGATATTTCTTTAATACTTTTGGTTTTATTGAACTATGTTTTCATATATATATACCAAATCCCGTAATTTTAGAAAATATAAATCGCGTTTAATTTCAAAAAAGCACAACATGATTGGGAGGACGTATTCTTCTATAATGAAGACTTTAACAAATCGTTCGATGAAGATGTTCCATTAATTTTATTTCCTTAATTGGAGGAGATAAGTACGTATAGTATTTTCCAAATAATTACATGATTTATGAATAATTAATTGAGTAACTTGATTTGTGAAAAGAAAAACTTAAATTTGCTCAAAATTTCTCTTAAAAAAATGATTGGTTTGGCGACATTTTATTCTTGGGCCTAGTAAAAATAACCACATATTTGTGTTTAAAAAGGAGGAAAGAGGAAATTACACAAAACTAGATTTTTAAAGATTCAATTTCAAAAATTAGATTAAAGGTTTAACTTTTTAAAAATCAGACATTTTATTTTAAACATTTAAACATTAATTGTACAATTTTCATCTCAAACCCTAATCAATTTCATTTTAATTTTCCACATCCTTATCTCTTCTCTTTCTTCTCACTCTCTCTACCTTCTCTCATCTCCGCCACTCTTTCCTCTACTCTCCAGGCTCCTTGCTATCTGTCGGAAGTCAGCCTCCTCGAAACCGGGTGTGAACGGCACATCGTAGCTATCCACGGTGTGAACGGCAACATCGCTGCTGCAGAGCGGCATGAGTCGCGTTGCAGCAACTGTTGCCATGCAATGAGCGCCACCGCTGCAACGATGAATGATGGGGGATTTGGGAAAATCTCACCGTGTTGCAGCAGCTGTTGCTGTGCAATGAATGCCACCACTGCGACGGTGAATGATGGGGGATTTGGGGAAATTTTGGCTGCTGGTGTTTGAGTTTTTGTTGGTTGTGATATGGGGAAAATTTGGTCGCGATGGAGTCGTGGTTGGATTGTGGTGGTAGTGGTGCTCATGGTGGTGGTGTTCGGAGGGCTGTAATTTTGTTGGATTCAACGACGGTGGAGGTTATATTGGTTATGGTGTTGGCTTTGGTGGTGGTAGTGGATCTTGGCGGTGGTGTTGGTTTTGGTCTGTGCACCATGTCTAAATCGTAGCTCCACAATATGTGGGTTTTTGGGTATGTTTTTAGTTGGGGTGGATGGGGGCTGTGGTGGTCGGAGGTAATGGTGAGATGTTGTTCGCGATAGGTCTGTCGAGATCATGGTGGATCTAGCGCAACGACGTGGTGGTGTTTTCGTGCGATGTGTTGATTTGTTTAAGATGGTGTTACTGTCCGGTGGTGGTGCTGCTGCTGCTGATGGGAGTGGTGAGTGTGGTCACAGATTATTTGGTCGTTTGTGACCATTAAATTGATTAATATGTGATGGACAGACAATATTTGATCAATGAAAAAGATAAGTTGTGATCCAAAAATAATGTGTGACCTAAAAGTATGTTAAAAGTTGTCACTTGAAATCAGCGTATTCCAGTCTCATTTTTTCGTAAAATATATTTTTTTTTCTTTCATTTTTAATAAAATAATATTACACGTAAATTCAATTTATTTTATTTTAACTATATATTTTTCATCAAATCACTATTTTAAAATGTATTGTTATTTTATTTTATTTTGGTATATAATGGAATTCAAACAAGCTCTAGTAGTCCGTCATCTACACCGTCCATGACAAAGAACCATCGAAATCCAAATCAACCGACCAAATAATTTACAGGTCAGCGATCCGCATGAAACTGAATCCACCAATAGGAACATACCTTCTAGGTTTTTCCTCTGCTATATAAGCAAACCTTAACTTCCCTTAATTTCCTCCGCCAAACCAAGCTCCCTCAATTTAACTCAAGACCTTTCCTCTCGTCGGAGTTTCGATTTTCTTCATTCGTCACTTGCTTCACTGATGGCGCCAAAGGCAGAGAAAAAGCCGGCAGAGAAGAAGCCAGTGATGGCGGAGAAAAAGCCACCGAAGGCGGAAAAGAAGATTCCCAAGGAAGGCGATGCAAAGAAGAAGAAGAAGGTGAAGAAAAGCATCGAGACGTACAAGATTTACATATTCAAGGTTTTGAAGCAGGTGCATCCTGACATTGGTATTTCAAGCAAGGCTATGGGAATTATGAACAGTTTCATCAATGATATTTTCGAGAAACTTGCAATGGAGTCATCTCGTTTGGCTCGCTACAATAAGAAGCCGACAATCACCTCTCGTGAGATCCAGACTGCGGTTAGGCTGGTTTTGCCTGGTGAACTGGCGAAACATGCTGTTTCGGAAGGCACCAAAGCGGTCACCAAATTCACCAGTTCTTAGGTTAGGTAAATTGTGTAGTGCGTTTCGTTGTCTTTCTGTACCTGATCTGCAATGAATATATGGATTTCAATGAAAATTGATTCTGCTGCTGACGTTAATTAAATTCACCATGGATTTTAAAGCATTTTTAAAGTCAGATTAGTTTTTCTGCTCCCATTGTCTTCTTTCTAAACATTACCAGAAAGTGATGCTTGTAGACAAGACACCATAAATTTAACAAGCATGCATAACCATGGAATTCCTTTAACATCGCCCCAGAATCGTTGGTTCAAAGATCAAGGTGTTTAATCATAAACTGAAGGTCTTGAAGATCAAGTCCCTTACCATTATTTCCCAGATCTTTGAATCCAATGTTGCCACTTCCCAAAAATAAAAATTCGATTAACAATATTAAGTACTTGAGAATTGAAATAATACCATATGTCAACGAAAAGGCTTTGCTCTAATGTTACCCTGCAGGAACCTTGTCGTTCCAGAATTAGCAATCAGATTACGACCCGTATCTGAGTCCCCGAACTCAATCAGCTCCCTTGAACCCGCATTTCCCACCACCTCATCTTTCTCCTCCCCCTTCACATTATTATCGTTACTTTTTTCCCCTCCTTAATTTGCCTTTTAGGTGTATTGACTCTCGAGAAATAGTTCCCACAAATAGACTCTTGTTATACCCATGCTCCTCATCCGACAACATGATATGCCTATGCCACTGCCAAACCCGGTAATAATTGTGAAACCCTACACGAATAGTAGAATATGATGCTCATCGATAGAAGTTTCGCTTTTGCCACTGACTATTGAGGATCCTGCGTATGATCTCCTTTTCGAGCTTGGATTCTTCCTTAGCCAGCTGTGTCTTGGAGGGGAAGGAAGAGAACTCGTTTTCACTGTCGAAATCTGAATCGGAATCGGAGAAGAAAATGTCTTCCAAGGATTGAGGGGTGAGGAAAGGTGGCATAGATAGTGGAGCGTGGAGGTTAGGGCGGCGGATTTGGAGGCGGCACGAGGGATTGCAGGAGGAGGTCATCGAAGTTGGTGGAGTTGATAGAGCTGCCCGTTGCTGTGGATTTACACCTCTCACATGCGGCCCCGCGTGAATCAAAAATTTTTCAAGATGTGGTCCCCACCTTTCTATTGTGAGTAATCAAATCGAAAAGGAATTAGGTAAAAAAATTGGGTACATGTAGTTTAAAGGGAAATTTTCGTATTTTTCTCTAAATCCCTTTCTATAAAGTGTTATTTATTTATTTTTTCTTTCCACTAAAGAGCCGTTAGACATTGCTGTGGCTTTTGCTTTAGCTTCTCGTACAATAATTTCTTATTATGAGCCTGTTTGGGAGAAATTTATGGGGAAAGAATTGATTGAATAGTGATATGATGAAAAATGTGTTGTTGAAAAAGAAGAAAAAATTATTTTATTGAAAAATGTGTGGTTGAAAATGAGAATTGATTTACTGTACAAAAATTTAATCCCTTCCAAACATGGTCTATATTAATTTTTGTTTAAAATTTTTATTTTTAAAAGAGCTTCATATTTTGAAAGTATCGACTTCTTTTAAGAGCCCGTTTGAACCTCATTTTTTTTTTTAGAGAATTTCCAAAATAGCCGGGTGAAATGACTCATTTGGATTTTTTT